AAGCCTCGTTGCCAAACACCCAGGACCTGAAAATGAATTTGACTTGTTTAGAAAAACTTTGGAACATGGTCGCAGGACACCACTTAGAAGGGTGATGGTACTTCACGTCCAAACCTCAGTCTCTACAAGGCTTGACTTAGCTTTCTGGAGAGCCGACCATGAGCTCTCAGCTGTGGAGCAGGAAGTTGGGGGACTCACTGTGCAGTCAGCTACAAAGGTTTTATAGCTATTTCCATCACCCACTTTGTAAAAACATAATTCAGGGGGCATTTAACTGGCACCTCTCGTGGATTACAGTTTGGTTCCACCTCATTCCTAAATGAAGGATTTGGGAATTTAACTATGCTTGTCACCACCAACCCTGCCACCACTGGAAGGACAGAACAGGTTGGTATCAGAGGGGCGACCCCATGAAGATGGCAAACAAATGCCACAGAGAAGTCATATTATCTGATATTTGGATTATAAGAGAGAAATACAGCAGACCCAGTTCAAACATGGGTTTGAACAGTGCCGTTTACCTACAACCAGTTTACATTCTACCTGTTGGTTCCACGTTCAGAATTCACCCAATCATGGCTATCGGCTGGCTAAATTTGCAGATTCACAACCTGTGGAGACGGAGGGACTTGAGTATCCACAAGTCTGGGGACCTGTAGGGGTCTGAAATATCCCTGAGGATACAAAGGGACCACCACAGTCAAGTTACTGGAGGAGGTCAAAGTTACACGCAGGCAGTGTTGCTCTAGGGTCAACTGTAACTCGGAAAGCTAAATTGTTTTATGAAATGATACAAATGATACCCCAGTGTTCTACTGAGAAAAAGGGACTCACAAAAGTCTACAGATCCCACATGGAAGGGATAACTATACCACCAACATAAAGATTTTCTGTCTCCTAGAGAAAATAAGTAGTTAGGCATTCTAAGGTACAGGATCTGATCAAGTTTCTCAAGTTTAACTTACTTCTCCAGACGATTGTAAAAAAAAAAATGTGCTATTATTGAGAAGTCAGCACAAAAGTCAGGGTCAACAAAGCAGCTGGGAAAGGGAAGCAAATGTTCTCTCTGCTTTACAGGTAGATAATAATTAAATAAGTTTAGATAATAAGTTAGATAGTCATCAGGGAGACAGTCTCCCAGCACGAGCCTCCTAATGTTGTAGAAAGAGGCCACAGGCAGATCAAACCTTATAAATAATTGATCTGCATCCTTCTTTTATAGAGGAAGACCCCAAAGACATGTCCCACATCACCCAGCAGAGTGAATGGCAGAGAGCCCTCTGGGATGGTTGCTCGGTTGCTCAGAATCCATCTACAAAGAGAACAAGTCAAAGAAGGGCTTTGCATTTTGCAGAAGATTGGAGCAGGGTTGGGCCTGGGAGGACATCCCAGTGTTTTATTGATAGATGAGCAAAGCAAGTCTCAAGGATTTTACAAGTATTGGCCCCCGTACTTGGGTCATCATGCCCCCCAGCTCCCAGTTAGCTTTAGGTTCATTGCAATTAGCTCCCGGAAGCATTCTACAGGCACTTGGTACTATTCCTTTAACATGAAGGATTCTGAGCATTATTAAACTAGTTTAAAGGTCAGTAAATCTATTGCCTTCTGAAAGGCTTCCTGAGACCAATTTCTAGTGTGAAGACTTTCCCACCAACAAGCAATTCTCAGAAACAAGCAGCATGTCCAAGAATTCAACTTAACTCAGCTCAATTTCAACCCTATCTACCTGGAGCTAGCATCAGATTCCACCAGTTAAGGATTCAGTCCAGCAAGATTGGCCTCCTTTTCAGAAACCACTCACAAGCTAGGTTGCTACCTGCGCTTTTGATTAACTGGCTACAAATAAGAGGCTCCTATGACTCCCCCCCCCACCATGGTTTCATAATTTGTTAGTGTGATTCACAGAACTTGGGAACCTGTTGACTGGTTTATTACAAAGGGATAAAACTCAGGTACAGGCAGCTGGAAAAGACAGGGCAAGATACGGAGGAAGGACACAGAACTTCCACACCCTCTCCAGCTTGTCATTTTTCCCTCCAAATCTCATGTTCACCAACCCCAAAGCCCTCCCACTCTTGTTCTTATATGGGGGCTTCATTAGGCAGAATTTATTAAAATAATGGGTCATTGATAGGTGAACTAATTCTCCAGCCTTCACAGGACCTGGTCCCAGAGTTGGGGTCCTCTAATCATGTCACTGATTCTGCTAACAGTCCTCAGCTTTAGGTATTTCCAAAAGCTACCTGATTCACATAATAAAAGACACCTCTAGCACTCTCAACACTTAGGAAATTCCAAGGGCTTGGGGAGCTGTAAATCAGGAACTGTGGACCAAGACGACCAAATATATATGATACATATATATCTTATCTGAATGATCTGATCATCTGAATGATCAAATAGATACTTCTTGTAAATCATCATATGATTCTGTTGTTGTTTTTTTTTTTTAGAATGCTGAGAGTATAAAACAACTCAAATTATAATCCATAATTTCCCTCTGGAAATTTTAACAGTTGGCTAATTTGCTCCAAGTTTTGGACTATAGCACTACCACAAAATCAATCTCTCCAAGGTTATGTTTGGGTTATTTTAAAGGCCCACTCCACCCACATAAAGGCACCACCACTAGTTTTAGCTCACAGAAAATAGGTCTCAAGTCAGAGCCTTTCTCTTTCCTTCTTTCTGCTCTTTTCCCAGACATAAATCAAAGACTCATGCACAAGAATGGAAAAGGAATTCAAAAGTAATTCAATGCAACTATCTCTCTGATACCACGTGACTTAGAACCTCCAGGCCAAGGGGATATCCAGTTAATGACAGAATTCTTGTAGTGACAGCAATTTCATTTTGTTCAGGAAGCTACAACTTTCATTGAATTTAAATCTACTTTGCTGCAGTTTCTTCTGACTCATGGCATCTTTCATAATGCCCCACTTCCTGCAAACATAAAATATTGCCTCCACAATCTTTGGTGTTAAGAATTTTAAAATGAAATTAACTGTGCTTATCACAGTCAAATATGTATAAATATATTTCAAGTGCTTGTATCAATTTACTCATCATATGAAAACGGTTGACTGTCACCAGATTTGGAAGGGATCTACGTGTGGATGGATCTACCTTCTTAAAACATAGGCTGTGCCCCACACAAGAAAGCATAAATGGGCAGCTATGATAACAGCACCTTCATAAAAAGTCCACATTAGGTTAAAAAGTCAAGCCTTAACCTCATTCATTTCCAGCGCTTTGACCAGCTGAACATAACCTAAAGGTTAAGGACATGGACTCTGTTGGTTTGACTTCCGTGGTTCAAATCTTAACTCTGTCACTGGCTAACTAAATTCATCTGAGTCTCCATGTCTATGTTCCTTAATGGGATCCTTATGAAGAAAAAGAGAACTAAGCAGTGAAGTTCCTAGAGCCATATCTTAAGAGCAAATAAACTCAGGAACCAGAGTTCTGTGCCACTGCTGATTGAGAGTGAAAGTATACATTAAGACAAGAAAAGTAGACAAAGATTTCAAATATGAATGCAGATTTAAAATTACCAGGGCAAATACTCCAAATTGCTGGCAATGATTTGTAATCAAGTTCCTTTGAAGTTGCTCTGTATGTGGGCGGCTCTGTGCAGCCCACTCCAGGGTGAGTGGGAACCAGGTTTTGTATTTTAAGGATGTTCAATGATTTTCCCTGGGGTTAGGCTAGTAAGATAATATATGTGGAAACGATTCATAAACTGTAAAGCACTATAAAATGTGATGCCGTGTCATGGTTATTTTGGACTCTGAGTGATCACTGTGTGCTCATACTTGCTAGTTGTCAAAGGGGCCAGGCATTTTTTAATACCTCATATAAGTGAATAAAATAATCCTCACACCAAAAACTTGATCCTGTAAAAGATTTCTTTCCATGGCATATATATATATATATGAAAAATGATACTATACTAAAATCGCATGAAATTATGGCTCACAAATATAGTGGGGGGAAAGATGGGCAAGTGTCCAAAGAGAGCAGGTATAAACAGCAGCCAGAGAGGTTTTTTTATGACTAAGGAGAGGTATCTTGCCTATAGGTTGATGAGATGGCGGTTGCATAAACCCAGGAGAGAAAGATTAAGTGGATGCAGCTCCAAGCCTGGGAAGCTGAAATTCATTCTACCCAGACAAGGGGAAGAAATGGATCCTCTAAGCTGCTTCCTCTCCCAAGTTATCAGTTGATTTTTAAACCAGTAACAAAGGGGCGATTTGTATCAGGAGAAGAGACTAATGAGCCTTCCAAGAAAGCAGACAAGGCTGCTTTCTTCTAAAATTAAACACAATCAAACACAAATCCGCATTAGGTTAAAAAGCTGAGCCCTTCACCTCATTCATTTCCAGCACTTTGACCGGCTGTGCAACATAACCTAAAGGTTAAGGACATGGACTCTGTGGTCTGACTTCCGTGGTTCAAATCTTGACGCTGTCACTGGCTAACTAAATTAATCTGAGTCTCCATGTCTATATCTCTTAATCTTTATGAAGAAAAAGAGAACTAAGCAGTGCAGTTCCTAGAACAGCGACTGGCAAACGTGAGTGCCACCGAGTACCCACCTGCTCTTCCGCTCACCAGCCTGAACACCAGGCCCAATTACAAGTGCCTGGCACAAACAACAAAATTAAAAATGCCTATCACCTTCTATTTGGGCCTTCAAGTTTTACGTTTCTGTATTGTCTTATTTTATTTTTTTCCCCAGCAAAAGCAGTACTACCTTCTTTTGCCAAAGAACAATGAACCTGTCCGCTCAAAGACTGCAGTTTCCATGAGAAAGTAATTAGAAACAGATGTTCCTAAAAAATAAAAATCCATGCTCTATATGTTCTTGGCGTCACTCACTTAAAACTTTCTACAGTCATCCCCAAAGCCAAGTGCACCCTCCTGCAGCTGTGACCTGCCCGGCAGCCTGGACCCAGAAGCCTTTTCTTCTACTGTCCACCCCAATCCACAAACTTGCCAACCTTCTATGAAGTCCGAGGCGGTGTAAGGCCGCTGATTGGGGCTGCTCTCTGCAGGGTTGTTCAGGGTCTCCAAAGCTGACTCAATAGCTTCCACCAACTCGTCCCTCTTGTCTTTCCTCACAGGTTTCTCCTCGGGGTGACGGGTCAGGCCCGTCTCCAGCTGGTACACTTTCTGCAGGGTGAAGCTGTCGAAAGGCACGGCGGCATACTCCGTGGCCAGCTTGACGCCGGCGTGCACCTCCGCTCTGTCCACTTGGGAGTGCAGGAAGGCCAGGAGGTCGGCCTGGGTCTTCTCGGGGGGTCCTGGGTCGAGGCCCGTGGCATCGCCCGTGTGGTGCTGTGTGTTCTTGAGCTGTGAGCTCCTCTCCTGCAGCTCCTCCTTGAGCTGTGCGATCTGCCTCTTGAGGCTGCTGATGTAGTTGCGGTGCTGTTCCTCCCATTCCTGCAGGACAGCCTGGTATCCCTCCTTCCCTGTGGGGCCATTGGCCCGCGGCAGCCCCAGCTGGTCCTCATCGCCTTTCGGAGTGCAGGCTAACATATAGAGCACAGAGACCACACAGCAAAGGAGCACGAATAACACCACCACCCGCGAGATCCACGCTAGCAGCCCCCGACGAACCATCATCACTCAGCAATCGGCCATGCGTGCAGACCTGGAGACATCCCAGAAGGCCAGAGCCGGGCCCAAGGGCTCCCTGGGCTAGATCACGGGAAGCACGCCTTTGAGTCCCCTGAGCTGCTTTCGTCCATTTTTTTCCTACAAGGAGTCTTGTTCCTAGGAGTCAATCACCACCTGGAGCATTTTCTTGTTTCTAAGGGACGCTCTTCTAGGCAGAAGCAACAAGTCAGGCAAAACCTCCACGTTTTCCCATTCCTTCCCATTATAGCACTCCAGATGTGCGGCAGACAGCAAGGGGAGACCTGGGAAAGAGACCAAATGACAAGACTTAGTCAAGATAATAACACCCGTATGTGTGAATACGGCAGTCAATATTCAATAGCCGTCCTGTAAGGTTTATAGCAAATGCTTCTGACAGGTGATTAAATATTGATAAATGGGTCCTCCCTGGTGGAACAACAGGTGAAAGCACAGCACTGCAAAGCTATCAGCAGCCACTTCAGCACGAGTTCAATCCCTGGCCATGGAGGTATGACCCACATGGCACAGCAGACCACACCTGACCCTCTGGCTTCCCCTCAGTGGTGTATTTCAATCCATCTGCCTGTTCTGCTCCCCACTCTGTCTCTGGTGAATCCTTTCACGGCCCCCACACCTCTGGCCTATAGCCCAGTTCTGTATGCATAAATAATCTTTTTAAAAATCATTAAATGTTTGTAAATTAGAACATAAATATGCATTTGCAGTGTGATGCATATTAAAAACAAAGTTGCAGAAAAAAAATAATTAGAAAAAATATGGCAAAATATGAGTAATTTTCTGGGGGGAATTCATGGTGATTTTTCAGTATTTTATAAATTCTCCACAATTGCACATTACTTTCATGGTTAAAAGGAAAAAAATCAAAACCCCAATGCAATGAAAATTATAGGCAGGGGTTTCTCCCAGCAGAGCATGCCCAGTATTGGTGAATGCGAAAGATGGTGTCCACCCCAGCTCACCTATGCTCACTCGCTCAGGGGGTGGCTGAAAGGCAGCTCAAAATGGTTGTCAAGCTTTGTATGAGGTAGGTGGTGGGGAAACACCTGGAGGCTCAGATATGCAATTAATTGATGTGGGGGCTCACCTACTCAGAAGGCATCAGGGGAGCTGTGCCAGCCGACTCCTGCAGCCCCAGGGGATGACCAGCTTATCACAGAAAGAAAACAGACCCGAAATACTGTCCTGTCAGTACTTCAGGCAGCTCTCTGTTCCTGCTTCTATGAGAAATTCTGGTTCCTGGCTGCCCTTCAGGAATGCCCAGAGGGATCACAGGGTCTTGTGTTCAAGACATACCCTGCACCTCAGCTCCAAGCTCTTTGAAATAAATGAGAACCAACCTCCCTCCCACTTTATACCTGCACTCTTCTCCCCACATGTATCTGACATGGACATCTCCACTCTACATTCTTTTGTCTGTGTTCTCCTTTTATAATCCCTCTCTCATCTCTCTCTATCCAATGAAGCCAGAAATGAATGAGTGAATGAATGAATGAATGAATGAACCACCAAAGTAGAACAAAAAAATTCATTTAGAAATCTTAGATGCATCTTTTTATAGCATTTCTCTTAAAACTTGCTCCCTGAGGGTCCATGTGCTGCCCATTTAAAAAGCTTCACATTTTTCATAATCCCCACAGTCATGAAATCATTTTTGACAGCGTCTTTATCCAGCCCAGAAATCCAGATTCTGGATTAAAAATTGTTTCAATTACTGGGTTCTGTTCCTTTCTGGTGGGAAGAAGGAGTCCAGTAAGTTAGCAAACTCAGGACCCTTGGAAGAAGACACGATATTGCTTCTAACATTCTTTATACAAAAAATCTATTAATCACAACTTCCTGACTTTATCTGAATATTTCCAACTATGTAATGTGGTCACATCTGAGGGTTTCTCTCCTATTGTCTAGTCTATGTGCCACTTACAAATATTGTTAATGTTATTGAAATAATTTATTTTTCAATTTTTCTTAAAAATTCAACACATAGCTTTCCCTCCAGTATTTCTGTTGGCCTTAGGATTCTCTCTCCTATAATTTAGAACAATACACAGTTATTAGTGCTAAGTTTAAAGTGCATGTTTAGCCCTGGAAGCCTTTTCTGTGTGATGAAAATCTTGGGATTTGTATAATTACTATAATTCTGTGATTAAAAACATCTCAGCTTTGGTATTCAGGCACCTTGCTGTTTTTTAATGAAATCTCTCAGATGAACTCATTATATCCAAGTATTAAATTACTAGTGAAGACATGTTATCACATTATTCTGCCACTTTAAAGACTTTTACTTTAAATGGGTTGTCATTAAAGACAAAATAAGCAAGCAAAAAGTAAAAATGGAACATTCAACACAATTTGTTGTGTTGCAGAAACTTCAATATGCAAGCTTCCAAGCAGATTTTTTAAATAGAGTAATTGTTACATTTGCATAATAAATTGAAAGCATGATGGTTAACTGAAGCAATGTAGTGAGGCTATGGCTAGAGAAATATAAAACCGCACCATAATTATTTCATTCTGCTTTATACATCTCTTTAAAATGTAGCCTGGCTTTGACAAGTATATATTTTAATTATTTGGTATTCCATTCTTCATGAAAGTAAGGGGGAAAACAATTTTTAGAAGTAACAAAACTCATAAAAATTACTCCCTAGAAAATAATGATGAAGTTCCAATTTTTAAAATGTCAGTAGATAATGTACTTCAGAAGCAAAATCATATATCTTTTAAAAGACAAAAAGTTCTTTCTAATGATTCTAGCAGTATAATAGGCAATCAAAATAGAAATAACTAGCTAAAGTAGTGAGGTTAGAGTATCTGCTTGTTGATCCTTCAGACTCATGCTTCTAAGGAGATTTTGGGTTTTTTTCCATTCAACAACACAGAGCATCATTCTTAAGAGCTGAAGTTGGGTCCTCCCTGGTGGCGCAACAGGTTAAAGCACAGCACTACAAAGCTAGGAGCTTCAGCGGGACTTCGATCCCCAACCAGCGAGGTGACCCGCATGGCGCAGCACACCTCTGGTGTCTCGCCCGCTGCTCCCCTCAGCAGTGTACTTCATCAATCTGCCTATTCTGCCGCCCACTCTATCTCTGGTGAATTCTCTTATTGCTCCTGTACCCCAGTTCTGTATGCATAAATAAATATATCTTTTAAAAAAGTGGCCACTGATTGTGAGATCAATTTCCATTTCTCCTTAAAAAAAGAAAAAGAAAGAAAGATGGCGTTTTTCCAGCTCTACCACATCCAGGAAAGAACCTTTCCATGACACGTTATGTACAGCCAGAGCAGGTGTGTAGCCAAGCTACAATGGTACCTCGCCATCTCTTCCCTCTGTAGAGGTGTTGGAAGAACTAGAGTTAACATTTACAATGTGTTTACAGACTTACAGATGGAAAGCACCATGTAATTACCAAGCGCTATTACAAGTTAGAGATGACAGTGAAAATATAGCTTTATGTGCTCACAGCAGCATTGTGCAACTATTTTAAAAACTTAGAAAGGGCATCCAGATTTCATATGAACTCACTGGGGGTGGGAGGTGAGTGTGAGGAAGGAGTAAAGAGCAAGAAGGGGTCCCTCTGTATAAACAACTTGAGGATTGTTGGAAAAAAGGAATGGGCATTCCTATTTTATGAATTACAGAGCATCCTCTGCTCATCAGGTTTCTTAACCACTTGTGCTTTCCCCAGTATCCTCCTGCCTCTGGCCAACCCCCCAGGGTGGCTCAGTGACATGCATTTGTCCACCATTCAGGATTTCTACATTAGACCGAAGGGAATACCACTGGCTTTGCTGCCATTCTTACAACCACCAGATAACAGAACTGCAGGGAGAAGCTTTCTTCATAGTCTACTGTGAAGACAATACTGTTGCAGGGCAGTGGCTACCACCAGGACCCACCTAAATTGGAGCCCACCTAAAGCCAGGTCTTTCTAGAAACCCTAAGACTAGGAAGAAGGCTTTCAATGCAGAACAGAGTTCCAAAGTCCTCAGACAGAACAACCCCAGGAGCTTCCTCCTGGCATGTACAGTTAGGGGAGGGTAAGGAACTTACAGCACATTCTGACGATGTTAAGCAGAAAGTCAGAAAGACTAAGTGAGCCCATGCCAAGGGGACCAGCCATGGTATGCGTGGCTCAGAGGACAGGTACAAGCTGCCCGCCTGACATCCTGCCCTCAACAGGCATGGCCTGGGTCTCCAAGTAACATGGTAACAGCCCAACCATGGGTCCGAGTCACAGTCCTCTCATCCAACACAGGCATCAGCATCGTTTTTCATGCTTATGAAGAGTTACTATGCACCTGTTAGGTTCAACGTGCCAAGTAAGAAATCACAGGAGACAAAAAGCCAAATACCGGGGCTCCCTGGTGGCGCAGCGGGTTAAAGCACAGCACTAAGAAGCTAAAGCCATTCAGCATGAGTTCGATCCCTGCCCTGGAGGTGACCCACATGGCGCGGCAGACCTCTCCTGACCTGCCTGCTGCTCCCTCAGCATTGTACTTCGTAGAGCTGCCTGTTCTGCTCCCCACTCTGTCTCTGGTGAATCCTCTCACCGCCCCTGCACCTCTGGCCTGTACCCCAGTTCATTATGAATAAATAAATAAATCTTTTTTAAAAAGCCAAACTCCAAAATCAGCTCTTCATATGCTGTAGAGGGATGGAGGCTATGATGGGGCCCCAAACAGGAAATGACATTAACGTGTTAATTCTATGCTTCCATCTCCTAAATGTAGGGGGGTTGAGAAGCATCAGTAAATAAACTTTAAAATGAGGGAAGCTTACCCATAGGGATTACAACTGAGGTGGAAAAAGCTGCCTGTCTGACATCACAAAATGATGTAAAAATAAACTATTATATTATTTTTTTAAAAATGAGGGAAAGCTTGGGCCCTCCCTGGTGGCGCAGCAGGTTAAAGCACTGCACTAAGAAGCTTAAGCCACTTCCGCATGAGTTCGATCCCCGCCTGCCCCGGAGGTGACCACATGGCGTGGCGGACCTCTCCTGACCCGCCCGCTGCTCCCCTCAGCAGTGTACTTCGTTGATCTGCCTGTTCTGCTCCCCACTCTGTCTCTGGTGAAGCCTCTCACCCTCCGCATCTCTGGCCTGTACCCCAGTTCTGTATGAATAAATAAATAAATCTTTTAAAAAAAAAAGTGAGGGAAGCTTAAACTAAATGTTAGTTTAATCAGCACCATTTGTTAAGAAAAGATATGCAAGTGACTATGGTTACAGTTTCTCCTTTCATCTCAGAGTAGAAAGTC